ATAGGTACCTAAGCGGGAAAACCAAGCAAAATTTTTCCCGGTTATCTGGATACCGGATAAATGGTTCTCTACTGTACTAGATTCATATATAATAACAGTAATCTCTTTTCATAGTAAGTTAATTTACATGAAATATTTTTTTTTAATTTTGGTTTAAAAAATTTTGCTTATTTATTCATATGCCGTGGGAAATTTTTTTCCTTTAAAATTGAAAGCTAGAAGTTTAAAGAATTTATAGAAATGTAAATATTTCAATAAGTGTCTTTTATTAGATTTAATGTAATATGTTTCTTATATTTAAATGATCCCAAAACAGTACAGCATGAGGTTTTAAGACTGTTGATGTGCAGGCTTGAGAGCACTTCTGAACATAAAACACACAATAAAAAAACACAATAAAAAAAAATGTTTTTTATGAAAAATAAGAAAAAAAAATTCTAATTTTAATTGCGCATTTGAGTCTATTGTAATTCTACCAATTTACAAAAATTCTATTGTTAATTTTTTGTTTTGTTTCTCGATCGCTTTTTATTTGGTAATTACTTTGGAATTTTTTAAAAAAACCCAAATATTTTTATATTTTATTACGGTACTCTAATTTCGAATTTGAGTAATCACTTTTTTGACTTGCTTTATTTTTGCCAATTTCATGATACACCCAATATTTTTTTCGATCGTTTTATTTTCATATATATTTTCAGTTATAGATACTGATTTCCATGTAGTTTTTAAAAGTTCGTTACATTTAATATGATATTACAACTTATAACTTATAAATTGCGCATTTAATTTATCACTTTTTGATGGGCTTTAATTGCACCAATTTCATTTTAAAAAGTTATTTTGATTGATGAGTTATTGCTATGCCTTTCTTATGCTTTTGAAAATCCTGTATTTTTACAAATAGATTGAATTAGCTGCTTGCCAGTGAAAAATCGCATTTCAACCTCTCTCGGTTTCAGTTCATAAGGCACCCAATTGCCTTTCTTGTGAATCATACCATGGATTTCAATTGTACGGAAACGGCTTGTTGCTCAACTCCCAATGATTCTGCAAGCTCCTCTTGTGTTTGACTCCGATCTTCATCGATTAATGCTTCCAATTCTTTGTCTTCGAATTTTTTTGGCTGTCCGGGGCGAGGCTTGTCTTCAATGCTGAAATCACCATTCTTGAAACTTCGAAACCTTCCCTACATGATTTATCAGTTGGAGCATTGTAACCATAAACTTCTACAAGCGTTCGATGCACTTCAGCTGCACTTTTCTTCCAATTTAAGCAGAAACATAAAACCTCTCGCAAATGCTGCTTAGATACCACAAAATTTGACATATTCAACCAAGTAAAAAACAGGGTTTTTGCATGAAACTCAAAGCGATATGAACTGAATATTATTGTCCGATTTCTAACCTCTCTAAAACCAGCTGTCACTGTCACTATGAAACAATCAGAACAGCCAGAGCCATCTTTTGAAAACGAACTGAACTAATTTGTACTCCCAATAATAATGTTTAGATCTTCAGTTTTGGGAAATCTGATTTATGGTGACAGCATTAAACTTTCGTTGATGATGTCATGGTCTACGAGTGTTAGGCCAATTTTTAAAAAAATTTTGCTGTTGGTTGATCACACGTAGCTCATGACATCATCCCTTATTTGTAGTACGAGAGTACTTAAGCTTTAGTTGCAGATGGGTATGTTGTACTATTACTTTTTATTGTTGTTTTATTGCTCTGTTTGTCAGAGTGCAATGTGTTTGTTTTTAAATAAATCGTTTACCATGAAAACTTTGTTTTGTTTCAATGAAAGTTAATATTTAGTTGCACTGACATTCTTTTGACTATTTCAGCTATCAGTTAATGCTCTGCACTTGCAAGTGGTTTTAAAAATAAGATTTTTATTACAGCATGCTAATTTTAAGCTCATTTAAATAATTACTGAGATGTTTTATTCATGTCGATTTCATCTTAAATTTAAGAGAGTTTTTTTTCCATTCTTTTTGTTGCAATTATTGTAATCCTTTTCTGCGTAATTTTGATGATCCTGTTACATTGGAATCTTATTTGTTTATGTAAACTCACTTTTGGTCGTACTACAATCTTCCTCAAACTAAACTTAAATCTCAACATTCTTTTCTTTTTGAGTACAGGAGACTTGCAGAGATCTTTGAGGTCTCCAACTCCAAACTTTGCATCTATAGGCCGCCTGTTTTTACGGACCTTCTAAAATATGCCACTGCCAGATTCGACTTGGTACTGCCTGTTTGGAAATCGGACTTCCACCAGACTGAGATCCCACTCTGGCCACTATACACGAGAGATACTCTTGCCAGCAATGGCTGCAGGTTTTTACTGATGGATCTGCCACTCTTTCAACTGGTAGAGCTGGAGCCGGTGCTTACTCCAAATATTTCAGCCTTGGAGAACGTCTTGACGCTTGGGCAGATAATTTTGATGGAGAAATGTTTGCAATCTTTATCCCTATTACAGCTATTGGTGAACCATCTGAACAAAACATTGTTATCTTTGTCGATTCTGCTATTAGACCATTTCTGAATATAATTTATACCCGTCTGAACTTGAATTTAAGTGTAAACAACGCATCGACTCTCTTCTTTGTTCTGGAAGAGAGGTGGTCCTCCAATGGATCCCTGGTCATTGTGGCAGTTATGGAAATGAACGGGCTGACATGTTGGCTAGAGACGCTTCAGTATTGCATTCATCTTCTCATCCAGTTCCCCTTTGGAATGCAAGACTGCTTCTTAAGAGCAAATTCAGGCACAGAACAACATCTGCTCCCTGATGGAAAGTCCTGGGCCAGCCTTCTTGATAACCAGCAGCGCTCTCACCTTTTCCTCCTTCCCAGAGCTGAGAGAGTTGCTTGCCTTAGAATATGGACATGACTACTTGCAGGCCCATCTTTTTAAAATTAACCTGGTCAATTCACCTCTTTGTGTGCTCTGTAACACTTCGCCTATGACTGGGGAGCATCTATTTGATTGCCTCTCTCTTCTTGACATCCGTTCCTGTGATGACTTTTGTGCCCTCTCACCTTCTGGAGCTACTTCAGTGTTGTATTGGACTGCAAGGTGCCTTATGTCTGAGAAGACGATGGCGGGCGTAATTTAAAGGGGGAAGAAAACATTGGAATCGTCAATAATCGAAAATTGTAATAACATCGGAATTTGAAAAACCACACGAAAGACGCCGATTAAATGATAAATAACTGCTGAAAAACCTATCATAAAGCAAAGAGAAGTTGTGATAGAATCGTCACGAATCAAATGCTGTAATTATGTTTAAAACATAATGAATTTGAAAAACTATGTAAAAGGGCCGACTTTCGAACAGTCACAAATCAAAAACATCAAATAGTAATAATTTGTATTTGAAACATTGTAATAACGTATTAATAATATAGAATTTAAAAAACCATGTTTAAAGAGCAGATAAAATATAAATAACTGGTGAAAAACCTGTATCAAGATAAAATGTCTATTTTAAAAACAATGTTAAATTGAATGAAAAAATGATAAGTAATAGTAATAACTGTGATCTAAAATCAAATTGGATTTACAATGGAATACTCGCAAATCAATCAAAATTCACTAATCATAACATTGTATTAATTACATTTGAATTGGAAAAATCATGAGAAAATAGAATAGTTATGGCAAACAGCTAAGAGGAAAAAAAATTATATGATAAAAAAAATACTATCACATGTTTAATAACATGATTACATGTTTAAAAAAATACGATGGAATTGAAAAACTCATT